ATGTTGCCCTCTTTGTGAATCGCAAATTGTGATGGTATCTCTACGACAAATTTCCCCTGTTTTGTCCACCACAATGAAGATTCAAACAGGGGAGGCTGATAACTCTGTATGTGCAACCCTTAGCTGATGGCAAGGTTTTGCTCCAGCTCTCCTTTCAACGCCACAGCCCATTAAACGTAGGATATAAGAATAGATTAAACGTAGGGTATAAGAATAGATTACATTGTCCCTGAGTTGGTGCAGAGTGCATTTATTTCAGCATGTCCCCCTGTGGAAAGTCTCTATGGATCAGGGGAAACAGCTTCCAGATGAAAGGTTGGCACTTCCAACATAAGAACAAACACCTCCACATTCAAGACCAAGAGTGATGGTGCTAGTAGTTCCCAGTGCTAGTCACTTCAAACAATTCTGATTCTTTGCAGAAGAAAGCCCTCACAACCCACATCCAAAGTTTCTTGCACACATGTTCAACTTCTTCCACACAAAAATGCATTTAAAAGGTAATCTCTGGCCATGGTACTGATCCTACCGCCGTGCATAATCACACACTGCCCCCACCAGCTTTATCCCACATACCCTAAAAAGCAGGCACAGTCCACCGTCCGGCATCCAAAAGAAAAGAGCTCCTGGAGTTTTGGCTCTATAAACCCCCCTTTTGGCAACAGAGCAGGACACCTGGGCCCCACCCTCAAATTCCTGTCACAAGTGGTTCTTGTGTTCATAGTAAATTGAAAGCCACTCTAACTTTGCTGACAGTAAATAAAGGGGGCCTTGGGCTCCTATCTAGGTGAGGGGACCAGCCTGGAGGCTTTCAAGAGGTTGAGTTGTAAGAAGTGCTTCATTACCAAGCCATGACAAGCCCTTCAAGTTCACTGTTAAGCCAGGACACTTTATTAATCACCAGGTGAAGTTCCCTGCTGGGTAAGGTCTTGGTATATAAGAGGAGCAGAGCTGCAGCAGACAGCACTGAGCAATAAGATAAAGCAAGTAATACAGTGGTACCTCGGGTTACATACGCTTCAGGTTACAGACGTTTCAGGTTACAGACTCCGCTAACCCAGAAACAGTACCTCGGGTTAAGAACTTTGCTTCAGGATGAGAACAGAAATCATGCTCCAGCAGCGTGGCGGCAGCAGGAGGCCCCATTAGCTAAAGTGGTCTTCAGATTAAGAACAGTTTCAGGTTAAGTACGGACCTCCAGAACGAAGTAAGTACTTAACCTGAGGTACCACTGTAGTAAGATGCAGGATAAAATAGAAAGAATAAAAGCAGGCAAATGGGAAAGTGGGTTCAGTAGAATTCAGCACAACATCTAGGGATGGGTGAATCTATTTTCCCCCATCTTAAATTCAGTTCTTCACATTCCCACATCACTTTGTGATTTTTTTAAAAAAAGTATTCATGAAAATTCACCAGTATTTTAGTGTGCATTTCTCCTAATATACACATTTTTGCATGCAATCTTCGCTAGTATAAATCATTTTTGCATGTTGTTTTCACTGATATATTCATCTATATGTACACATTGCTGTGCTGGAGAACTGCATGACAACATTCAGAGAAAGGCAAGTTTTCAAGGGTGGCTGGGTTTCTGTTCACACATTGCTTTGGTAAATGCCTGTTAGGTATGTTAGCCTTTCAGTGTGAACTGAATTTATCCCCCATCCCTTATAGGGTTCCCATCTTCTTTAATTGTTACTGTGCTGAAACTGTGTCTGTTCCAAACTTTGGAGATTGCACTGCATGAGCACAGAAATTTGCATACGGGGTGCAGAATTGAGATCCCCAAGAACCTCAGCTTTCTTTCTTGCCTTCCATCTGCAAGTCTCTGGTCCTTAAAATGACAAAGTATGGCTTGAAAGTGCCAGGATGATGGCTAGCAACTTCTCAGAAAGCTCAGTTGTGGGGAGGGAACTGAGCAGGACTTCTAGGGGGACAGGCTTCACTCAGGTGTGTAGCAAGAAATGTTGTGGCAAGGGAACCAAAGGCTGCCTCTCTCTCTCTCTCTCTCTCTCTCTCTCTCTCTCTCTCTCTCTCTGTGTGTGTGTGTGTGTGTGTGTGTAAATAATTGCATAGCAGCTAGAATCAAATTATAGACAACATAAAAGTAATTAAAATTCAATAATTTTTAATCTTACAAAAGTTAGAAACCAGTGCCTGGCATTTACCAGTCACTGAGTGCCTTTGGAGGAGAAGTAGGGGAACTTGCGTTGAGCAAGCTGAAATCCTTGCGTTAGTGGATGGGTACCACCTACTGCCTTAAACACATCCAACCATCATCGTTTGCTGCCCCCTGTGTCTGGTCTGGAGCTCCTTTCCAAACCACTACCTCCCTCCCACTTCAAATCCTGCCTCAAATCTCCTTAGATCTTTGATTTATCCCCCTTAGTCTTCATCCTGAACTGAAACTTCACTTTGTGTAAATGCGTTTGGACATATCTATTACGTCCACCATCCCTCCACCATCCTTATTTCCATTGTTCAAAAAGAATTTCTCAGTTCGTTGTGGCAGCTGGCTGCACTTTGGGTCATGTTCACTCTGCAAACCACCATTTGCACACTGATGGTGCTAAAAAAAATTATGATGTTGAGAATGATGGAGTCAGGCAACTGCCTATACTGAAACAGTGTTAAATGGTTCTTCATATCTCTCACATTCATCCGTTCTCTCACACACGCATACACACCAATAACCCAAAGAGCTGCTTTTAACCAACTGTAAACAGAAACAGCTCGCACTCAATGGCTTCTGTCTTCATTTCAAACAAAATCTTTATTTATCATCAATAGCAGAAGCATTCAAGGAGAAGCTGAAAGCAAACATCCTTGTGGGTTACTGATTGCCTGATAAGGAGAAAAAACTCACAGAGCAAAATGTAAGGTGGCTGCTGTCCGGTATGGACCAGCTTCCACAGGACGAGAAGCAGAGGTCATAGTCCCAGTCATAAAGCATCTCAGGTAACCTTTAGCCCAGATTGGCTCCCAGCCCAGCCTTCTGATTGGCTGGGGAGTGGTCCTATATCATATAAGGGCAACCTGCACACCATAATGTGGCCCTTGGCTGACTTGTATGCGGCCCACAGTTCCCCTCCCCAGGTCTTTGGCACTGATCACTGATCAACACTTGATCAAAAATTGGTGTGTACACTCCTCAGCTATTCCTTGCACCAATGAGATAGCCAGTGGGGGACGCAAGGGGTGGGATTACTGCAACACCACTGTTCACCTTTCCTCAGGTGATTGGTGCTGGATACATCCAAGGACTGCAGTGATTGGCTTGCTCCTCAGCTGTTCCCAGTGCCAATCAGCTGGGCCTATTTACCTCTCCAAGGTTCAGAAAGCCTCAGTCTTAAACATTTTGCCAGTGACCTTGAGAGGGCATGATTCTGAGCAGAGATGCAAGAGAACAGGGAGGAGTGGTTAGCTGCATAGGTCTGTAGATCTTTATCCAGTGGGCAAACCTACACCATATTGCCCTGCTCTTCCCCTTGTGGGATTCCTGATGTTTTTCAGTTATTCCCCCATATACATACATACTTCTGTAACTGTGGGGAAAGGAAGTCAGGAGGTGGGGTGTCACCATTTGGATTGGAAAAGTGGCTAGTGGTGAAAATGTTAAATATCTTTCGCTAATGTTCCTTCATTCTCCCAATGCCACTGTTTTTGTAAAAAAACAAAAAGCACTCATCACGGCTTTCTTTCACATCTCTGCATGTGATGTTTAATTTCTCTCTCTCTATATATATATATGTGTGTGTGTGTGTGTGTGTGTGTGTGTGTGTGCAAGTTTCTAGCTGTCACAGCTGCAAAGATAGGTTTCAAATCATATTGGCAATGCCTGCAGAAATAACAGAAGCCAGAAGGGAACTTATAAGTACTTCTGTAACGTGCAGAGGTCTGCACTCATTTCCATAAATTATTTGCATGGTGCACTCAGACTGCAGAATTCTTTTAAAACTTTGGTGTGGATTTTTGACTTTTTTTTTTTTAAGCATTCTTTACAATTATCTGTGAGGCTGAGATGATTTCTCTGCTAATTACCCAGAAATTTTGCACTCTTCCCCCTCACAATTCATTTCTGAAGATGCCACCTTAACTGTTTTGGACTGTTATACCAAACCTTTAGAGTCTTCAAAGCACTTCCCATACAATCCTTATGCTTAATTTTAATTGATTTTATGATGTATGTTCTATCCATATTGCTCACTGCTTAGATTGAAGCTACAGCATTTAACTGCACACTATGTATGAAGAAGATAAGAAGGACCTGCTGGATCAGGCCAGAGAGCCATTTAGTCCAGCATCCTGTTCTCACAGTGGCCAAACAGATGCCTGTGGGAAACCGGTGAGCACAAGAGCCCTCTCCCCTCCTGTGGTTCCCAGCAACTGGTATTCAGAAGTGTTACTGTGAAGTAAATTAGTATTGTTCCCCCCATAGTGCAGATAGGAAACTGAGACCAAGGTGATACATCTTCCCCCAAAGAATCCTGGGAACTGTAGTTTGTTAAGGGTACTGGGATTTGTAGTTCTGTGAGGGGTGATCTACAGTTCCCAGGGTTCTTTGGGAGAAGCCACGTGCTTTATTTTTTATTTTTATTAGTTTTTAACATATCATTTTCCACAGTCATTTAACATAATTTCATATCTTATACATCTGAAAATTTTCCAGTCTTTTTCACTTAATTTACATTTTTTAATTTCACTATTACTTTTAATTATCTTAACTAATAACTCTCTTCATAACTTTCCTTGTAATAGTTCTGTGAGAGGTGATCTACAGTTCCCAGGGTTCTTTGGGGGAAGCCACGTGCTTTCGATATATGGTACGGGTGTTACACAATGTTAGCTTGCCTAAGGTCACTTAGTATGAGTTAGTTCATGGCAGAGGCAGAATGTTTTTTGTTTTTTTTAAAGGGAAAACCTGGTTTTGCAGCTCAATCTTTTAGCCACTACACAGCATCATCATCACTGCACTGAAAATGCCACTGCATGGCACTCACTTGGTCCATTGTCCTCACAGCTCTGAAAGTGTCCTGCCTTCCCTGAGGGGGATACCCTTTCCATCCTCCTCCTCCTACTCAGGTGATACGCTCTCCGGCGGTGACCAGGCCAGAAGGAACGACAGAAAGAGACACACGCCATAAAGAGACGCTGGCAAGCGCTGACTTGGTGATCTGAAAGTACAGAAATGGGGGGTGGAGGTGGGAGGACAACATGGGGCCCCTGGTTCCTTGACTAGGGTTTGTTTTGCAAAAATTCCTCCACTGTCACAGCCAGGTAACACTCTGAAATGCTTTGGCGTGAACTAAGGGGATGCAGACCCAGCAGGGTATGGGCAAAGTGTCAGTAAGTCACGTTGAAGGTGATTCATAATCTGGTTGCTTTCCTACAAGACTTCTTTTAGCATCATGCCTAGGTTGAAGAGTGCCTGCCTTTGGAGCTGACCTGCCTGCCTTCTTGAGGAAGGGGTGAAGAGCTGTGCAGGGCAGCAATGAACTCTTACTCTAAATTCAGAAATGTCTGAAAGGAGCCAGTACACAAACTGCTCAGCTCAGTCCCCTAGAGAACACAGGCCACATCCATACCATACATTTAGCACCCTTAAGGAGTCCTGGGAACTGCAGTTGGTCAAGGGTGCTGGGAATTGTAGCCCCGTGAGGGTTAAACTACAGGCCCCTTATTCTTTGGGGGAAGCCAGTTGCTTCATAGAATCATACAGATGTAGATAAGCTAGTCCAACTCCCTCCAATGCAGGAATAGGCAGCTGTCCCATACAGGGAACGAACCTGCAACCTTGGTGTTATCCGCAGCATGCTCTAACCAGCTGAGCTATCCAGGCTGACAATGTGCTTGAAACATATGATGAGGATGTGGCTCTGGGAGGAGGAGAAAAGTGCTATCCTTCATTCTTTGTATCACACACCATTCCTGTCCCAAGACAACAGGTTGAGGAATGGGAAAGCAGAGGATGCCAGAACTCAAGGCCATTGCTTGGAACACACAAACAGCAACCAGAAAATTGTAAGCAAGAGACATGGCCCAGCTCACAGGCACAACAACTATCTGTTCAACCCAGGCAGCACTGCCACTTACTACTAAAAGATTAGCATTGCGTTTTTTGTGACTCTTGTTTTGCATAGTGCTTCCCATCATTTATTGAACTTTCTTTCACAACAACTTTAAGAGAGAGAAGCTTTTGATACTGGTCGTTAATATTAAAAGCCTGAGAACTGTATTTTGTTACGGACTGTATTTTTTGTTAGTTCCCGGGATTCTTTGGGGGAGGCCATGACTGTCCAAAGCTATAAGAATGCTTTAAATTTATTGTGTGGATGGGAGCAGAGGGATCTGAATGAAAACAAGGTCCTGACCATGCTTTGAAACCTTGGTATAAACTCTGTGATAGAAGAGTTTCTCTCTCCTGCATAGTCCCCATTCTGCCCTCTCCCACTGCAAGGAAAGAGGGATGTGAATAAGAACTAGGAATTAAGAAAGTGTGTAAGAACCCAAACACAAATAGCAAGCCTAACATGGCATGCAAAATGTTCTGGGTTTTATGTATTTTCATGTATGGTTGATCAGAATCACTTTATGACAAGGGTACGGGTTTCCAGCAAATGCCATTGCCGCTGCCACAACCCAAATGCCACCACTGAATGCAATGCTAAGACGTATCAAGTTCAGGAATGCTCCTATCCCCATGGAGCATAAATCCAACATAGAAGACAACGTGTGGAATTGGGAATAGCGCACAGAAAGGCCCTCTATATATACCAAGTCAGATCATTGGTCCATCTAGCTGACTGCCAACATCAAACCATTGGTCCACCCACATTGATTGGAAGTGGCTCTCCAAGGTTTCAAGAACTGGAGACTCCCAACCCTATCTGGAGGTATCAGGAATCGAACCTGGAACCTTCTGCATGTAACGTACATTCACTGCTACAGACCTTCCTCACCTCCCCGCCCCCTTGTGTCTGCCACCAGAGACAGCTGCCTCCCTCTGCCCAATTCTCTGACCCAAGGTTCTGTTTGCACTGGGAAGAAAGCTGCCGAGAACGAGTCAAGAAGGCGCATTTGGGGTGAATCTGCACTGGTTAGAGCAAGTGAAAATTAGAGGGGAGGGAAATGGCAGGGACTGAACAGCACTTTGCTCATTTCTTGGAGGTAGAGATGGGCTGCAGCAGATCTTTCAGAGTTTAGGGACAGGACCATTTAGGCAGTTAGTAACAAGAAACACAGGCGAGACGAGCCAAGAGATCCTATGCTTATCCATTGCTTCCACCTTGGGTCATTCTTCTTACAGCAAGTTCAGAGGTCAAACAGTAATTAGCAGTTGGTTCACCTGAAGTAGCATGCCTCCTTCGTCCCTTCTCACCCCCCCACCCTGCCCCTTCTCAATGAAACACAATCTCCCCTCGACACCCATCTTTCTTTCAATCTAATATTACACATTAGATTGCTCACATGATTCTGCCTTTAAGAATTGCTCCTCTCATAGCTGGGGTCTGTGTCTTGGGGGAGGGAGGGGAGCTGCTCTGGACTGGGACCCTGGCATGGAGCATAGGGGGACTTAACTCATTGTCCCTGCTGCAGTTTTCCAGGTAATCCTTCCCATAATGATTTGCCTGCTGAGAAACCTCCCTGAGCATCTGCCGTGGAGACCTTGTGTGTCGCTGCAGAGGACACTGAAATCCAGTGCACATTCCACACTCCATTGATATAAGGAGCAAGGAACTGGCGAGGCAATTATACTCTAGCTCTGCCATTGTCCTGGGTGAATTAGCCATGCTCAGTTAGGGAGGGCTGAATTTGATCATTTCTCTTTCTCTAACTTTCTCCTTTTTCCAACATTAAATTCTATTTGCCACATTTCTGCATCAGTTTGCAATTCCTCATGAATATTCACCAGCACCTTTGCACACATTTCTCCAAATACATTTTTTTATGCACTTTGGCGTAATGTGCACATTTTTGCAAGCAATTTTCTTAAACCTAATCCATTCGTGTACCTTATTTTCATTAATATATGTAATTTGATGCACACTTCCCCCCTCCCAATATGTGCCTTTTTGTACAATGAAGAACTGCATCACAAAATTCAGAGAAGTGTGAATTTCAAATGATGATGGGGTTTTTTCTATTTGCACATTGTTTCAGGAACAATGCATTAGGTAGGTTCACATGAAAAGATGAACCGAAGCAAACTTCTTTCCACAATTCCTAGCTAGAATTTACCCAAGACACTCCCTAGGTAACAAACTGTAGGGAAAGAGAGGTGCTGGAAGCAAGCTCCTTTCCTGGGAAATTTGTCTTGTCTTTCACTAATGATCTCCTTATTGAGGAGCTTCAATAAGCTTACAACAAAACTCCAAACACAGTTTGAAAACCCTAATGCAATCTGAATTTCCTTGAATTAATTTAGATGTGAGGACACTGTAATTCAGCCCATGTGTTCCTTCCAAGCTGGAATGCCTGTCAAAGATGTTTGTGCTCCTATTTCCAGATTCCATCTAAGTCAGGCTTACTCAGGTACATCCTGAAACACTAAATTCTAGGTTGCTGTTTGCAAGGCTCCTGCAGTGTGATTTCTCACTTCATTGCTTGGCCAGTGAAAATCTTGTTTCTCTTCTTCTTCAAGGGATTTGGATTACTCACCGCTTTTGGTTGCAAGCGACATGTTGGAGTGTTTCACTGCAGGGTCGTCGTATCCTTCAATATCAATTTCCCTCTGAATGTCAGCTTCATAGTCCTGGCGCGGGAGGAGGGGGAAGAAAAAGGAATAATCATTTAAATACTCTATAAAGCAGCTATCAAATGTTCCAGATCACAAACCTCTGTGTTAGCCTAACAGGGGTAACCTAACGTTTCCCCCCCCCCAAAGTTCAAGGCGCTAGTCCTCATTTTTAAGCTTCACTCACAACATTCTTATAGAAGTGCAGTCTTTGTTTTTGTTTTCCCCCACCTGCCTCTGATCTGTCATTCCCTTTGGGCTTCCGTTCACTCTTTCCGTGTACTTCTTGTTCTCTTCCTAACGCTCAGCCTGGAGGTAACATCCCCTGGTTGGCTGGATCTGTTGGAAATCCGAAAAGAAGATGAACAAGTTAGGAAGTTTAGGATCATGAACTGATAGATGTGGCTCTTTGTCCTAGAAGAGATAACTTAAGAGCAGATTGACTGCGCTGCATTTTTCTTGGAAGAAAACAGAAGCCACCTTTGTCTATATGGTACCTAGAGACTCCCATGGCAATCGCTACAAGTCCATACAGCCCCTCTGCCCTACAGTGAATATAACCAGCTGAATATAACCAACAGCAAACCATCTGAATCCTCTCTCTGGTTGCTTCAGATATAGCCATTTCCTTTGGAATTACCATCCTTTGTTTTCTCACTTTTTATGGAGCTTCCAGAAAATATAGGTCTCAGCCCATTGCATCCCACTGTTGGCTCCTGGTGTTTACCTAGACCTGATTTGGGGATAATAAAATGTAATAGCCCCATAACTTGCCTAATGCAGAAAGGCAAAGCACAGTGGCTCTGTTGCCTTTAATTAAACACTTCCTGTTTGCAGGTTTATTCTATTTAGAATCCAGCCTCTCTGCTCTTGCTCCCATCACGCCCGCAGAATGCTGTTTTGTGGGGACTTACATCTGGATCAGGCTGCATCCGTTTAGCTGGCTGAGCCAGAATCATAGAAACATAGAGTTGCAAGGGACTCTGGGGATCATCTAGTCCAACCCCCTGCAATGCAGGAATATGTAGCTGTTCCTTATGGAGACCTGAGATGGAGGGGCAAGTTATGCCAGTGTATGGATTTTCTCTGTCCTGAATCTACTACCAATCAGTTTAACCGAATAACCTCAAGCTGCTTATATTAGAATATATTTCTATTTTAATGTTTTAACATTGTTTTACTGCATATTTTTTATTATGGGAATTTATTTTAGTATTTGTGTAGCTTGTTTTGAAACCAAACAATATATATATAAAAACCTTGCATGATCGAAGAGAAAAAAATATTCATATTCTTCTTATCAAGCATCATTTTATAATCTTCCATGGTGTCCCATTCAGTCATCTAAAAAGACCCAAATGCGTCAACCTTTCCCCATAGAACAGGTGTCCAGCAGACCCTGATCATATTTGTTACACTTTTCTGCACCTTTTTCCAGTCCTATGATATCCTTTTTTTAGATGATTTGTTCAGAACTGTATACGGCATTTCAAGTGCAGCTGCATTACAGATTTATATGAAGACATATTAATCTCCACAATGCTAGCAGGTTAATTTTCAGTTCCTTTCCTAATAATCTCTAGCATGGGATTTGCCGCACGCACCCCCATCACCGTACACTGAGTTGAAATACATTTTCTGAAGCACTAGGAGGCGCTGTTCAGCAAAAGTTGCTGAGTCAGGGGGGCTGCCGATGCCTAGCATGCTAGAGGAATTGTCTCTGCTTAGTCACCTAGCCAGAGCCTGCAAAAAGCCATTGCAAGAAACCAGACTGTTCTTGATTCTGCACCCCCTTTGTGGTCCAATTTCCAATGGGGTAAAAGCAGGGGCTGTTCAGGGCCTCACTCATCTTCAGCATCTCAGTAAAGTCACTGTCTAGCAGAGCTAGCAGGCTGAGCTACGAACTAAGAAGCCTTTGGTTCGAAAATTGGGAAACCAATATTTTTCCAACTTTCAATTCCGTTCTCTACATGAAAATTCAAGGGCATTTCCTTGAGCCCTTTATCTAATATACATTTTCATGTATGCAATTTTTGACTAAGATAATATTATACATTAATCTTTGAAAAATGATTTCCTGCCAACCCTTCACCACCCAATCAGGTTCAAGCAGTTTAAGAATGCAATATTAAAAACTGTATAAAACAAATTAGATGTCTATACCTCAACCGAGGTAAAGAAATGTGTCTGCATAATGGCAGTGCCAAAAACACTATTTTTGGTGGCGGTGGTGGCGGCAGCGGCATCGGTAGCAGTGGGAATTCCACAACTTCTGGACTATCACAGAGATTGCTCTCTCCTGTGCTGCTAGTGCCAACATTTATGAGGGCAAAGCAGAATGGCCAAGAGGGAACTATGCAGAGGTCACAACATATATATATATATATATATATATATATATATATATATATATGCAGGTTTTGGTGTCCTCGGGTGTCTTCCCGTGTAAAAGTTGGGGTGTCTAGGCGACGTTTCGACGAGGTCTCACTCGTCATCTTCAGGCTGGTGCTTTCGGCTTCTTGTTACTGGAACAGAGCATCACCAGGAATGGAACTCTGTTCCAGTAACAAGAAGCCGAAAGCACCAGCCTGAAGATGACGAGTGAGACCTCGTCGAAACGTCGCCTAGACACCCCAACTTTTACACGGGAAGACACCCGAGGACACCAAAACCTGCATTCCTGTACCCGTGAAAATCTACGAAAGCATATATATATATATATATATATATATATATATATATATATATATATTTACAAGCAATTTCACCATAATATGATGCATTTTGCACATTATTTTAACTATATTAGTGAAATTCTGCACCTTCCTCTAATGGACATTCTTTGTACATCACAACATTCAGGGTGCAAATTTCAAAATGCAAGTTTCAAAGTTGCATTTTCATTCACTATTGGTTTGGAAAGTGCAAGTTGGGTAGGTTTGCATAAAAACGCGGACGTATTTCTCCTGATCGCTATTCAAACCTCAGGGACTTCTTATGCACACCCAAGCCCTATTCGCCCTGCTGTACCAGCCAATCTATGAGGAAGGCAAGATATAATTCAAAGCAGGGCTCAGACCCCAGAACCTTGTTTCTCTTGCCAGGAGTTCAGCCCTGGAATCACACGAAGCAATTTACTGAGTGTCTCTGGGCATGTGCAAAATCCTTGGTCCCATTGAGAAACTGCAATCACATCTAAGCTTTGGCCCCACCCCTGCAAAATTGGCTTCCAGTTTAGAGGGTCCCTGTGGCTTCCACATCAACTTGAGCAACCACAGCTCTCCTTTTAAGAAAAGAAGCTCTATAAGGAATGTTGCCCTGGTGATGCAAATTATCAACTTCCTCCCCCCCAAAACCACCCAGATAAATGCTAATCAATATGCACAAAGTGCTCCAGTCCACAATTTGAGCTTTTATGTAATACCTAATTTGGCTTTTTTTAAAAAAAGAAGAGCTTTGAGGGACTGCATATTAAGTTAATGGAGTTCTATGGTACCACACCTTAGATAAACTTTATCTTTTTCCTCCTGCGCAAGCTGGGCTGAGCTCCTTATGCACCAGCTGATGGAGCTGCAAGAGCAATGCTGCAATGGACTAAGCCTCCTTGGGATGCTGCTGCTGCTGCTTCAGAGCCTCCTTCATTGGCAAGTGTACAAAGGGAAGACTAAACAGGTGCATGTTGAGATGCTTTATAGGCTCACGGTCCCATTTAAATACAAGGCATTGAGTGTGATGGCCCACAGAGTATTGCCCAGCTTTGTGAGTCAAGCAATTCTCCTGTTTTCCCCCCGCTTTCTAATTTCTAGATGGGTTGATGCTCAGATTCCCTTCCACCCCTCCTTACACTGCCAAATCCTCATACAGAAGACCACCCCACACCTCACTCTAGATCCCTGCCCAACTGCTGCATTGGCAGGCTTTGCTTCTTCTAAGGGACGAGGGTGGCGCTGTGGGTAAAAGCTTTCTTCTACCTTCAGCTAAAACCAGCATGAGCAAGCAACAGTTCCTTCCTTCCTACAGTTCTCAAGCATGCCCATATAGAAGTTTTTCACCTTGTTACCCTCGGTCAGTGATAGCCAAACTTGGCACTCCAGCTGTTTTGGGACTACAATTCCCATCATCCCTGACCGCTGGTCCTGTTAGCTAGGGATGATGGAAGCTGTAATCTCAAAACAGCTGAAGAGCCAAGTTTGTCCTGCTCTCAGTCATCATGTCTCTGTTTCCTTCTGCAATCTGGACTAATAGATGCTAAGAGATATCGAAAGCAGGAATAGCTCAGTGTTAGAGCATGCAGAAGGGCCTGGGATCATTTCCAAATGTCTCTAGGTAGGGCTGGGAACATTCCTATCTGAAATCCTGGAGCACCAATGCCAGCCAGTGTAGATCCATTGGGGAAATGTTAGGCTTGGGGGGGGGCAGATGCAGCCTTCTCTATTTGGCCCTCTAGAGTCAACCAGCCTTTCTCAGCCTTGGGTCCTTAGATGGTGCTGGACTACAACTCCCATCATTCCTCTCCAACATGGCCAAAGGTCAGAGATGAAGGGAGTTGTAGCTCAAGAACATCTGGTGACCCGAGGTTGAGAAAAGCTGCTCTAGACTCTCCCCAGGCCACACCCACTCTTCAGTCACATGACTGGGATGTGTCTTTGAACTCAGATAATGCATCTTGGTTGCCTGCATGGAGGACAGAGAGGGGTATGTGGAGAAACTTACATTTGTTGCTCCGCCCATGTTTGCCTCTGGCTCCACCCACCTTTGGCATGTGGCCCTTGGAAAGTAGCCCAGAGAGGAAGGTGGCCCTCAGACCAAAAAAGGTTCCCCACTGCTGGTGTAGACAATACTGAACTACATGAACCAATGGTCCAATTCATCAGCAGGCAGCTTCCTATGCTGGAAACCAGCTGTGATCTATTAGCAGATATCTCCAAAACATCTCTCGCCTACCTTTTATTTTTATTTTTTTTAAGAGATCCATGACTTTGGTCAGAATATGCCTATTGCTAAGCCTAGTCACTAGACAACTATGTCTCTATGGAACACCTATCATATGCAACAAGAGCACCAGGCAGTTCCATTTCCATCATCTGATAAAAAGGTACTGTACAGCTGGTGAAGCTAAAATGAGAAGCACAGCTAAAAAAGATCAGGCGTTGGAGCATGTTCCATGCAAATGTAGCTTTAGAGACGGGCTTAAGCTGGGTTGCTGGAGGGACTACAACTCCCATCATTGCAGACCATTGACTGAGGCTCATGGGAGTTGGAGTCCAGTATCTATTACCACATGTTCTCTATCCATGATTTTAAAGTCAGCCAGGGATGGAGAGAAATACATGGTGGTGCAGAGAAAGTGAAGAGACAAAAATCATCCAGCACCCCCAACACACACACCCCAAAATAGATCACAGAGTAATCCAATGGATTTGATAAGCATTAGGTTCAGGACACGCTAAAGGAAGCATTTCTTCCCACAACACCAGTGTCTTTAACTTCTGGAATGAATTCCAAAAACATTTGGAGATGACGACCATTTGCTTAGACAGGTTTTGCAAAAGGGAATATGAATTCACAGGGGATAAGTGTATCAATTATGAGAGTTGGTTGATTACAAACTTCCCAGAGTACTTTGGCCACAATGGATATATTCTGCCTCCTTTGTTGGAAGCTGCAGCCAGGGAAGGTGTTGTTGCACTAAGGTCTTGCTTTTGGGCTTCCCATAAATAACTGATTGGCCATTGTGAGAAAAGGATGTTGGACTGGATGGGTCGTTGGACTTATTCAGCAGGGCTGTTTTTATGTTCTTAATCTAGCGGTCACTGTTCAGAGACAGGGGGTTGGAGTAACAGTCTGATCCTATATGTGTCTCCTCAGAAATAAGCCCCACGGAGTACAGTGGGACTTACTCTGAGGTAGGCATGAATCTTAAACAGACCTTTGGTCAGATCCAGCAAGGCAATTTCATTATCCTCATAGGAAAGCATCAATGGAAAAGAGATGCTAACTTCTTACAAACTCCTTGTTTGTCCAAAAGTGACATTCATAGCTCTTAAACATTGACAACCTTCCATAAAGTATCCCAACATTTCATTACAGAAGGGTTTGTACACTGTAACCTCCACCCCCTCCTTTTGAAGACAAGAGCATTGAAAAGGATGCTGTCGACAGCTTGCAGACCCACACCAGAAACAAGGAGCTGCACATCGCAAAGAGGAAACCAACCAACTTTTGCAAGCACACAAAGCAGGTACCTTTCTTGGCAGGAAAAGAAAAAAAGCAGTAACCTGCAGCTACTTTCCTTAGAAAGAGAGAGAAGCAAAGGTGGGACATGCCTCAGAAGTCCAAGCAAAGACCAAACAGCTGGTGGAGAAAAATTGTTGGAGGCTCCTCAAACCTCCTTGAGATTTTTTTTTGGGGGGGGGGTATTTAGATTAAATGCTCTGAAGAAGGTATGGGGAACTACAACTTCCATCAGTCACAGCAAGCATGGCCAACTGGGATTTTTGTTGGCACCAAGCTTCTCAAAGGGTTCCTTGGCCCCTTCCAAGAGCAGCCTCTTCTCCCTCCTCTCACATTGCCCTCCCTTCCATGTCCTGCAATCTCCACCCTCAGCCCCCTCCATCCATAGGCTCCCTTGAAGAACCAACTTATTGTATAAGGTCACCTACCTGTATGCTTGCAGAGAGAGCTCGATGGGAAGGCAGAGAAGGTTCAAGCCAGGGGTCTTTCTGCTGCTCCGTGGAACCCCTCTCTCCTTAGCGGTTCCCTACAGCCTGCAACAGGCGGTAATGAGACGAGAGAGCTCTCCAGAGGAGCTTCAAAGTCCTGACTCATGGCTGCTGCTTTAATCTTGCGGTGCCACCTGGCATCAGGGGTGTTCCTGGTGGGTCTAGATGCAACTTTTTTTCCGAAGGACCAGTAAACAACATTATCTGGAGTTACCATGAGGTGCAACCTCCCTGCTACCCATCCGTGCTCTTGAACTTTACTGGCTCGCCCCTCCCATCTCACCAGGACTGGTCTCACCAACATTAGAAAGGTCCCGTAAGTTTCGAGCGATTTCTAGCAAGGCCACCTCTTCTTCCTCAATGAGTGTTTGGTCCTCCCGGGTCACGTTGCCTTCTCAGCTTCGCATCCTCGAGATAAACTTGTTTACAGATCTCAAGGGGAATTCCTCTGCTGGGGTGGAGGGGTGGGGGAAGAAGGGGGAACCCTCACAAATATAGTCACTGGTGTTTTCCTTTTGGATTGATGTGGTTTTTTTTCATTTAAAAAAAGTTTCTCGTGAGGATTCCCTCTTTTGGCTGGAGGCTGATGAGCACCGTTCACAGCTTTCAGCTGAAATGGCTGCTAGAAGAGGAAAGTAAAGATGAAAGCAAGGCAGGAACTGTATCTGTCTGGACCTTATTAACTTTGAATGAGTTCTCACGGGTGCATTTAGCCTACCTGTACTTGAAATAATCAGAAGCAGTGCTCTACTTAGAAGCACATACAGGTTGCATGTATGTCTGACATATGCAAGGCCTCAACTGTCTGGCAAAGCTTCAATTAAATACAGAAGCACATATCGGTAACCAAAGCACAGGGCCCGGGGAAAAAGTAAAGCTCCATATATTAGAATGGTTTAATCAAGTTCTATGTAAATGGCCACAGTTCTGAATATTTTAGTGCACTTAGGGATGCTTGATGAATTCGAGTTAACAGTGCAAACTTGATCTGTGCCTCCCAGACCAATGCAATTATCCTTCAGACATTACAGTCTCAGGTATGAGCTTAAAAAGAACAGAAAAAAGTTTGTTTTTTTCAATAATTTTCATTCAGTGGCTACCAAAGCATTCACAACCATCAGACGGCAGTAATGCTATAATAAAACATTACAACGAAACACCAGCAGAAAGTGTTTGAAAACCGTAAGTTTTCAGCTGTTGAAGGTGCTGAAGTACCGTGATTGGTGGCTAGAGAATGCTTGGGTGAAAAGGGGATCCTCTGATGGGTAGTAAAAGCACTCAGCTGTTGGTGCCGGCCTAATCTCTAAAGTGAAGCTTCTCCATAGGGTAGGTGTCACCACAAAGAAGGCCCATCGCCACGTAGCTAACAAGATGGACGTCTGGTGGCCATGACACAATCAACAAGGCTTTCCCCACAGATCCCAGTTAATTAATTAAATGTATTTTGTGATGGAATATATATACTATTTGAATAGTATTTTGTGCAAAATATTATGCAAGGTTTTTTTTTAACACAAAAAAAGTTTGCAGACCAATGTGAAAATGAGATGAAAGGGATTTATGTATGAAATCATAGAATTGTAAAGTCTGTAAGGCCCCATTGCTGAGGTGACTATGTTAAAAACCATGTGAGGGCAGCAACAAAGAGGGAGAAAAGTGGGGTGACCAGATTAGGGAAGGGAGCACCTCACGCGGAGTCCACTCGCACCTGGTAGCACCTCAGCTGTCACAAGCCTCCTGTGCCTTGCAAAGGATTCTGGTAAATGTTCTTAGAAGCATGGTTCATTCAAGAAGGGAGTGGTCTGTGCTGTCCTGTAGAGTCTCACACTCATCACATCCCTGTGCCTGCACATGCTGTTGTTGTTGTCAAATCTGTTATCCATCCTTCACCAGCAGGTCCCAGAACAGGTTACAGTTTAAAATCCAGAACTATAAACAGTTAAAGCAGATTAAAGTCACAGGAATCATTACCATTATCATCATTTTATTATTTTATTTTATTTTATTATTTACATGCTGCCCATCTGACTGGGTTGCCCCAGTAACTCTGGGTGGCTTCCAAGAGATATAAAAACTTAATAAAACATCAAACATTTAAAACTTCCCTGTACAGGAGTGCCTTGAGATGTCTTCTAAAGTTGTATAGCTCTTTGTCTCCCTGACATCTGATGGAAGAGTGTCGCACAAGGTGGGTGCCACTACCAAGAAGGCCCTTTGCCTGGCTCCCTGTAACTTTGCAGTGAGAGAAACATCAGAAGGCCCTCAGAGCTGGACCTCAGTGTCTGGACTGAATGACAGGAATGGAGACGCTCCTTCAGGTATACAAGGCTGAAGCCGCATAGGTGAGCCCTGAAAATACACACCTCAGGTGTCAAAGGCCAGAGTTAAGAGGTGTGTCTTCAGCATTTGCTGAGTTGTGAAGAAGCCAGACGTGCCTCTGTGGGGAGGGAGTTCTTCAACTTAGGGGCTGCCGCAAAGAATGTCCTCTCTACAACCCTCTAAACTTCCGAGAGAACTTCTGGAACTACCAAGAGGCCCCCTCTGCTGATCTTAATGTCTGGAGGAGTTCTGGAGGGAAGAAAGCAACCTTTCAGATATTTATTAGAAGATGAGTGGCAGGTGTAAGCACGCTGCCTTTTAAGAAATCTTAGGGCCACACTAGATGAGACACGGGATAATCTTCGGCATCCTCCCATTCCCTGAAAAAAGAAAAGGCACCACTGCTGTTTCATCACCCCTTCACTCTGGATCCTGTCAGGCCATACAGCCGGGTGAGAGGGCCAAGAATTTGTCATGTGTTGTTTTCTCAATCTGGACTGCCTTTCCCATGCTGCTATTCGCCTGGCAGTGAATAATTATATAGGTACCTATACAATACTGGCTTGTTTTACCTCAGACATACAACAGTTTCGTGGCGGTGGTGGGGAGGTTTCAATAAGGAAGACAGCAAGAAAGTAAGTAAGGAATAGCCTCCCTCTCCATAGCCGGTCCTATCATTAGCTGGATTAAGGCAGCCACCTCAGGCAGCAGATGTTGGGGATGGGTTCTGCTGCTGCTGAGGTGTTGGAAAACATAGGTCTATAGGCTACATGGCCTGCCTTTTGGGCTCTGATCTAGCGTGCTGTCCTTAGGTATGGTGGAGGATGCTTCCCCATATGCAGTGCTGAGGTAAGATTCAGCTGCCAAAACACTTGATTTCTCTGTGTGGGATTGTGTGCGGTGGGGGGAAGAAGGTGCCATTTTGTCCTTTGCCAGAGTCCTGCCCTGTCTCTTCCTCAGTACTGAAGCAACTGTCAAATGGAAGCAGGGCTGCAACTACTGTGATCTTTAAACACACACACACACACACACACACACCAGAAGATCCTATTCATTGATTTGTCATATCACAGGTTGTTTGCTCTTTATTGATCTTCACTTGGAGGCAGTGCTTTTTTTCTAGAAAAAGAGGTGCAGGAACTCCCACTTTTTTTTTTGACGGACAACCGGGGGGGGGGGGGAGCCAAAGTTGTTGATCTTTTTCTAGGGCGGCTGCAATTGCAAAGTCGCCTCTGACATGCAGTTCTGGGTGTCATTCTGCTATACAGCTGCCAGTGGAGGAACTCAGTTCCAGTGAGGAATTTCAGATCTCTGTGAACCACTGAATTAAATTATATGGATAGCCTGCTTTATAACTGCATGCACTCAGATTTGTTCCTGGTTACTCTTCTTCCATCTCTCACTCCACCCCCTTGTAGGTTTTATGCTGTCAAATTTTGAATTGTAAGCTCTTTGAAGCAGAGACCTTCCTTCCTTCCTTCCTTCCTTCCTTCCTTCCTTCCTTCCTTCCTTCCTTCTTTCTTTCTTTCTGTGTGCTAATGCCATATAGTACTGTTTCCTACTATTGACGTCACTGCATCAATCCATCACCACAATTGTTGTTGTTGTTTAGTCGTTTAGTCGTGTCCGACTCTTGTGAACCCCATGGACCAGAGCGTGCCAGGCACTCCTGTCTTCCACTGCCTCCCGCAGCTTGGTCAAACTCATGCTGGTAGCTACGAAATCACTGTCCAACCATCTTGTCCTCTGTCGTCCCCTTCTCCTTGTGCCCTCCATCTTTGCCAACATCAGGGTCTTTTCCAGGGAGTCTTCTCTTCTCATGAGGTGGCCAAAGTATTGGAGCCTCAGCTTCACAATCTGTCCTTCCAGTGAACACTCAGGGCTGATTTCCTTCAGAATGGATAGGTTTGATCTTCTTGCAGTCCATGGGACTCTCAAGAGTCTCCTCCAGCACCATAATTCAAAAGCATCAATTCTTCGGCGATCAGCCTTCTTTATGGTCCAGCTCTCACTTCCATACATCACTACTGGGAAAACCATAGCTTTTACTATACGGACCTTTGTTGGCAAGGTGATGTTTCTACTTTTTAAGATGCTGTCTAGGTTTGTAATTGCTTTTCTCCCAAGAAGCAGGCATCTTTTAATTTTGTGGCTGCTGTCACCATCTGCAGTGATCATGGAGCCCAAGAAAGTAAAATCTCTCACTGCCTCCATTTCTTCCCCTTCTATTTGCCAGGAGGTGATGGGCCCAGTGGCCATGATCTTCGTTTTTTTTATGTTGAGCTTCAGACCATATTTTGCGCTCTCCTCTTTCACCCTCAATAAAAGGTTCTTTAATTCCTCCTCACTTTCTGCCATCAAGGTTGTGTCATCTGCATATCTGAGGTTGTTGATATTTCTTCCGGCAATCTTAATTCCAGTTTGGGATTCATCCAGCCCAGCCTTTCGCATGATGAATTCTGCATATAAGTTAAATAAGCAGGGAGACAATATACAGCCTTGCCGTACTCCTTTCCCAATTTTGAACTAATCAGTTGTTCCATATCCAGTTCTAACTGTAGCTTCTTGTCCCACATAGAGATTTCTCAGGAGACAGATGAGGTGATCAGGCACTCCCATTTCTTTAAGAACTTGCCATAGTTTGCTGTGGTCGACACAGTCAAAGGCTTTTGCATAGTCAATGAAGCAGAAGCAGATGTCTTTCTGGAACTCTCTAGCTTTCTCCATAATCCAGCGCATGTTTGCAATTTGGTCTCTGGTTCCTCTGCCCCTTCTAAATCCAGCTTGC